AGTTTTACAGATGCAATAGATAAACAGAAATCAAACGCAGAGACAAACGAGGAGAAAGAAATATTCTTTCATTTAATAAAGGATACCTAGTTTTACTGTTTACAGTTAATGCATTAAACACTGTTTGACAAACGTGGGCAGCGGTAAATTACTGCCCAGGTACATCGGTCCATTTCGTGGGTTGCGCCGAATGGACAATGCTTGCACGATTGAACTGCCTCATCGTAGGATGCGTACGCATCCTACGTCTTAAGTGTTAATTCTCCTCTCGTACTATCATTACGAAGGTTACGAGAGGCGAAAAGGAACACCTCCGCGGTGGAAAGACGAGAACACCTTCGAGTGCTTTCGTTTCGGCGCAATCCAGTCTGGTTGACTGGCGAAGCGACCTGCTCATGCAGTTGAGCGTCTCCAGCGATCTGCAGCCAGCTCGTCACGAAGGGAACGAGTCGAACGTTCGTTTTCAAGTTGCTCGAGCGCAAAATTGCACTGATTGTTCAAACGATCTGCGAATTGAAAATTTGGCAAATCCCTCCACAACATCCTGAAGCTCATAACGCTGGAGTCGTTTCAAGAGCTAAGTCTTCGTGTAACTGTTTCACGTTACACGGCTAAATTCTGAACGTTAAGCTGATCCGACCCTCGACCCAGATGCGGTGTTCCCACCACGCCACCATCACTTTGGTGAAACCAGAAGCGAAGTGGTCAACGCTTCCTATAGTGGAGCGTATGCAGTTCCGCACTGTGAATGGCGTCCGGAGGAGGGTGCTCGTCCGCTGGCGTGGCTATCCACCGGCGTGGGACAGCTGGGAGCCTCGTACCCGGCTGGTGTTGAGATCCTTGGTTTCGTCAGGCAGTATGACGAGACCCACTCGCGACGTTCGAAGAAGGGCCGTCCGGAAAACATTGACCTCCCCAGACACTTGAAAACAGGGATTATGATGACAATCCTTCGAAAAAACCATATCTAAAGAGAAGAGTAGCCCTCCGGTAGGGGAACAGGGAGGTAGACATCATGAGGACACAGTTCAAGTTGTCCAGGCAACTTGGGCGAATCATCCACAAGAGACATGTTCATCTATGCCTCTTTCGACAGTCAGTGCAACTTGAACAGCATACCGACTGGGTTGCGCTTCTGAAACCTGATGCAAGCTGCATCAAGTTTATTGAGGCCGGGCCTCCACGGCCAATGCACTCGATGTTGTGGATGGGCGGCTCGATCCTTGCCCCAGGCCTTGTAGTTTAGACCACGGTTGACAGTTATTCACCGAAGTTTAAGAAATCATCGTCAAAAGAACTCTTCCTCGGGTTGGCGTATTGATGCTGGAATCAGGTGGGCAAATCTTCCTTAAATCGAACAACGGGATTCCACCTCGATCGGTAGTGCTGAGTGCGGCGGTAGGGTGGAAGCATCATCTGCTGCTGGAGCAAGAGAAGAAACCTCTTCAGCTGCGCGCATGCGATCAGCACTTTTCCCTTGCTGCTTTAGAAGCGCACCCCACGGACTTTGACACCATGTGATGAAGACAAGCAAAATGAGGGTTAAAATTTGACCAACCGAGTGATCCTCTTCCCAAGTGATTTGAGTGGTCACCCTGTTCAAATCAGTTGAATTCAGTCAATGGGTGATTGATGCATTAAGGGGGATGGATTTAGAGGGGTATCCTGTTTCATGATAGTGACACCAACGGGTGTCAAGAGGGAGATTGGGTCAAAGTGACAATTCCCTGCCAATAACATCCGAGAAATATCTGATACTGAGAGGAATCTCCAAGTGGGATCATATTCCGTACGCTGCTCAAAAAGTGTGGTTGATAAAAAGAGACACATCAACCAAGATTACCACAAAATCGCTGCTAGACGCGCATAACGAGTGGTGTGCAAGTTAGTCGTCAATACGACAAGAGTAGAATAATTTAGTTAGATAAGGATCGAAGTTATTTTGATAGCTTAACTATATTAGAAAGTACAGTTCTCTTTTTACCTTTTACGTAAACGAGTTGTTTAAGTAGACTACCTTTCTTCTGCACGTACGAGTGTACGTGAAGGTACGTGGCTTTTAGAACCAAAGGGTGCCCGCTACAACATGGATACCACACAGCGATCGGAACCGATGTAAGTCCACGGATTTATTCCGCTGTTGCAATATCTTCTTCAATCTCGAAGCGTATCTACAAGGCGTTTAAGGTCCTACAATTCAACACCCACAAGGCACTCCTATCCTGCAGCTTAACTAGATGAGACACCAGAAGCGAAAAAAAAGGTTCTCTATGAACAGGTACCAAACGTTGGACGCCTCGTTTATATTTTTTTACACTCGTACACGCGTATCTCGATGCCCGTGTGTGGCCATATCGATTGAGCATACCGTCCGAAAAAGACTAAGTGTAATCGACTCGCAGCTTGCCTGCAGATAGGACGGCACTTTGAGGCGCATTCAATGCAAATGGTGAACACTAACGAAAGCTACTTCTTCACAAGAACAAACCTCCATTCAATTGTTCAATCGTGGGGGTGGACACTTGCCCCCAGTTGTGCTTCTTTTCAGTCTCTACCTCCGCGCATTTCTCCATCGATGTCATCTCCGTTGAGGCTTTTTTCATGGAAAGTAGTGTCCGCCAGCGGCGCAGGTGTCATCGACGGTGTCATGTCTCGACCAACGTCTGACTCGGCCTGCAGCTGGCATTTCACCGACCTTCTGTGCCGCACCGAATGGCGTCTGCTGCCACAGTGCTTCAAACTCCTCCGGACTACCGCTCGAGCAGATGGACTCGTGCTGTTCATCCTCTCCCCTTGCCTTGTCGTCGCCAGGTGGTGCGCATCTTCTTTCTCCGAATCGATCTCTCGTTCGCACCGCTTTGAGATGACCCGTGGAGTCTCCGGTAGCGGCGACGCGTCGTTGCCACTCGTCGATCCTTCTCGTCCACAACAGACGAGTTGCTGAACGAGTAAGACGAGAACGAGTGGCTCATCGAGTCTTCATCCTTCAATGTCTTGGTGCTGGATACTTGTTGATCCTGTTGCGGTGCATTTTGCACCGGTTGGAACGCCGTCGGCTTGTACTTGTGTGCCACCACAGGCAGGTCGACGAAGAAGTCGTCATCATCCGTCGACTTCCCGGAGTACATGACGTGCTTTGGAGTTGGAGTGGCGAGCATCTCTCGACGCGCCCCAAAAGGGAAGCGCGGTCGCATCATGCTGTCACTCATGTGCTCGAGCTCCATCATGGACTGTTCCAGAGATGACATGGGGTACCAGAAGCGCGGTCGTACGAGATCCCACGAGCTAAACATGGTTGCGTGACTTTGTCGTGTGTGGGTTGTTGCTACTGATCGATCGTGCGGTTGGATTCAAATTGGGAAATTAAAGGGGACGTGGGTCGCCGCTCTCTTGGCGTGCAGACAGAGGCAGACCGATCATGATGATGTTGAAGTGCTTCGATCGAATGTTGTCGAAAGTAGCGTTTGAACCCGTCCGATTCAAAATGTCATACACCTGAGTGGCTGTTTTCTAGAACCGACTCCCGTCTTTTTCACCTTCTTTTTCGCGAATGCTTTTCCACCTGACGACTAGAAAGTCGAGACGAAACCGATGGTCCTTCCAGTCTTCCGATACTATACGCGCATGACACCACCCTTCCGGCGGGTACTGTCGTCCACTTGAATTACGATCTTCTTGTGGACCTCGCATCGTCAGAGGAATGCACAACGGTGCTCAGGTCGGTGATCAGATGTTGTGTGGAAGTCGCGAGTTTCCGTAGCTTTTCAGCCACCGATCGATATCCCATTTGCCATTGTGACCATACCAGCAGTAGTCGAGGAACAACGACTTCTGTTCATTCTTTGAATACCAATCCCTCATTAGTATTGAAGGCAGGATTTTCTGCGTATTTTCGTGTACCGATCGACATGTGTCATCTATTCTGGTCGCAATGTGCGTTTTTCCTGTGCCTCTTGATGCGACGTTTTGCGGCCGCTTTCCTTGTGTACGACGACAGCGTCGTGATAAGAATCAAAACGCAGTCGATCAACAAATTGCAGAGTAGGTGGTCACATTAAAAAACAAGTCATACCTCTCGCGCTGTCCGTCTCGTCCGTGGAGACTCGTACCCAAGCTGCTCTTTGTGAGTACAACTTCCAGCACGGATGCTCTCATTGAAACCGCGATACACATCCACTCAATCAACACTTACTCCAAAACTGCATGGTGGCATGACCTTGAAGTCGGTTCCATTTGATCGCTGTTCAGTGGACGGGTACGTTGCTATGTCAACCACAGTTTCACTATCGGAGCTGTGTACATTATCCTATTCAGTACTCGTTGGGTTCCACTTTTGCTCTTAATGCTTCGAATGCCAAGCATTGCCGGTTTCATTCGTGTAGTCGTTGTTGATGCCATTGTCGATACGTGGTACTTGCGGTGGTTCACGGATCATATTTTGCCGTGCCATTGGAACCTGTGCGCCGGCAATTAAATGTGTGCTGGCGTGCGCTGTGATGATAGCATACACTACGAATGAACGGCAGCACACCTGTGGACATCCCTTCGTCTCAACTTCCTTCTAGACGAGTGAAAAACGATATCATGACTGCGTTGCCCACATTGATACTTACTTCTGCTCGCACATCTTATCCAGCCACCATCTACAGCTTGTACATGTTGATTGTACCCTATTGACCGAGATGAACCATCCATTCGAGTTCAATGATGTACGACGAAGCCAGCACATAGATCGATCCTGCATTCAGCTTTCACGTAATGAGGAGTTTTGATGCAGCTTTGTACCGGTTTCGCTTGTTGATTTGTCATGTGCTTTCTTTTCAGGTTACAATGGGGAACATGATATCGTTACCACATGGATACCACACATGACGATCAGAACCGATGTACGTCCACGACATTCCGCTGTTGCAGCAACTTCTTCAATCTCGAAGCGCATCAAAGGCATTTCAGGTCCTACAATTCAACTCTCCACAACCTCCTATCCTGCAGCTTAACTGGATGAGACACCAGAAGAAACAAAAGCTTCTCATGAACGGGTACCCAAAAGTCGGACGTCTCATTCATTTACACTCGTAAACGCGTATATCGATACTCGTGTGTGTCCTTATCGGTTGAGGATACTGTTCGATGCAGACAAGTGTATCGATTTACAGCTTGCCTGCAGATAGACGGCGCTTGAGCGCATCAATGCAAATGGTAACACCAACGAATGCTTCTTCTTCACAAGAACAAACCTCCACTCAATTGTTCAATCGTGGGGGTGGACACTACAAGTTGTGCTTCTTTTCTGTCTCTACCTCCGCGCATTTCTCCGTCGATGTCATCTCCGTTGACTTTTCATGGACAGTAGTGTCCGCCAGCGGCGCAGGTGTCATCGACGGTGTCACGTCTCGATCAACTTCTGACTCGGCCTGCAGCTGGCCTTTCACTGACGTCTTCTGTGCCGCACCGAATGGCGTCTGCTGCCACAGTGCTTCAAACTCCTCCGGACTACCGCTCGAGCAGATGGACTCGTGCTGTTCATCCTCTCCCTTGCCTTGTCGTCGCCAAGTTGTGCGCATCTTCTTTCCGTCGATCTCTCGTTCATGCACCGCTTTGAGATGACCCGTGGAGTCTTCGTAGCGGCGACGTGTGGTCGTCACTCGCCGACCCTTGTCGTCCATAACGGACGAGCTACTGAACGAATAAGACGAGAACGAGTGGCTCATCGGGTCGTCATCCTTCAATGTCTTGGTGCTGGATACTTGTTGATCCTGTTGCGGTGCGTTTTGCACCGGTTGGAACGCCGTCGGCTTGTACTTGTGTGCCACCACAGGCAGGTCGACGAAGAAGTCGTCATCGTCCGTCGACTTCCCGGAGTACATGACGTGCTTTGGAGTTTGAGTGGCGAGCATCTCTCGACGCGCCCCAAAAGGGAAGCGCGGTCGCATCATGCTGTCACTCATGTGCTCGAGCTCCATCATAGACTGTTCCAGAGATGACATGGGGTACCAGAAGCGCGGTCGCACGAGATCCCACGAGCTGAACATGGTTGCGTGACTTTGTCGTGTGTGGGTTGTTGCTACTGATCGATCGTGTGGTTGGATGCAAATTGGGAAATGAAAGGGGACGTGGGTCGCCGCTCTCTTGGCGTGCAGACAGAGGCAGACCGATCATGATGATGTTGAAGTGCTTCGATCGAATGTTGTCGAAAGTAGCGTTTGAACAAGTCCGATTCAAAATGTCATACACCTGAGGTAGCTGTTTTCTAGAACCGACTCCCGTCTTTTTCAACTTCTTTTTCGCGAATGCTTTTCCACTGACGACTAGAAAGTCGAGACGAAACCGATGGTCCTTCCAGTCTTCCGATACTATACGCGCATGACACCACCCTTCCGGCGGGTACTGTCGTCCACTTGAATTACGATCTTCTTGCGGACCCCGCATCTTCAGAAGAATACACAACGGTGCTCAGGTCGAGGATCAGATGTTGTGTGGAAGTCGCGAGTTTCCGTAGCTTGTCAGCCACCGTCGATATCCCATTTGCCATTGTGACCATACCAGCAGTAGTCGAGGAACAACGACTTCGTTCATTCTTTGAATACCAATCCCTCATTAGTATTGAAGGCAGTGTTTCTGCGTATTTTAGTGTACCGTCGACACGTGTCATCTACTCTGGTCGCAATGTGCGTTTTTCCTGTGCCTCTTGATGCGACGTTTTGCGGCCGCTTTCCTTGTGTGCGACGACAGCGTCGTGGTAAGAATCAAAACGCAGTCGATCAACAAAGTGCAGAGTAGGTGGTCACATTAAAAAACAAGTCATACCTCTCGCGCTGTCCGTCTTGTCCGTGGAGACTCGTACCCAAGCTGCTCTTTGTGAGCACGACTTCCAGCACGGATGCTCTCATTGAAACCGTGATACACATCCACTCAATCAACACTTTCTCCAAAACTGCATGGTAGCATGACCTTGAAGTCGGTTCTATGTGGTCGCTATTCGGTGGACGGGTACGTTGCTATGTCAACCCACAGTTTCACTATATCGGGCTATGTGTACATTATTACCCTTGTCAATATGTTTTGGGTTCCACTTTTGCTCTTAATGCTTCGAATGCCAAGCATTGCCGGTTTCATTCGTGCAGTCGTTGTTGAGGCCATTGTCGATACGTGGTACTTGCGGTGGATTTCATGGATCATATGTTGCCGTGCCATTGGAACCAGTGCGCTGGCAATCAAATATGTACTGGCGTGCGCTGTGATGATAGCATACACTACGAATGAACGGCAGCACACCTGTGGACATCCTTTCGTCTCAACTTCCTTCCAGTCAGTGAAAAACGATCTCATCGACTGCGTTGCTTTTCACATTGATACTTACTTCTGCGTGCACATCTTATCCAGCCACCATCTACAGCTCATACATGTCGATTGTACCCTATTGACCGAGATGAACCATCCATTCCGAGTTCAATGATGTACGACGAAGCCAGCACATAGATCGATCCTGCATTCAGCTTTCACGTAATGAGGAGTTTTGATGCAGCTTTGTACCGGTTTCGCTTGTTGATTTGTCATGTGCTTTCTTTTCAGGTTACAATGGGGAACATGATATCGTTACCACATGGATACCACATGACGATCAGAACCGATGTACGTCCACGATATTCCGCTGCTGCAATATCTTCTTCAATCTCGAAGCGTATCACAAGGCGTTTCAGGTCCTACAATTCAACACTCCACAACCTCCTATCCTGCAGCTTAACTGGATGAGACACCAGAAGCGAAAAAGCTTCTCACGAACGGGTACCCAAAAGTCGGACGTCTCATTCATTTACACTCGTAAACGCGTATATCGATACTCGTGTGTGTCCTTATCGGTTGAGGATACCGTCCGATGCAGACAAGTGTATCGACTCGCAGCTTGCCTGCAGATAGACGGCGCTTGAGCGCATCAATGCAAATGGTAACACCAACGAATGCTTCTTCTTCTTCACAAGAACAAACCTCCATTCAATTGTTCAATCATGGTAGTGGACACTACAAGTTGTACTTCTTTCTGTCTCTACCTCCGCGCATTTCTCCGTCGATGTCATCTCCGTTGACTTTTCATGGAAAGTAGTGTCCGCCAGCGGCGCTGGTGTCATCGACGGTGTCACGTCTCGATCAACTTCTGACTCGGCCTGCAGCTGGCCTTTCACTGACGTCTTCTGTGCCGCACCGAATGGCGTCTGCTGCCACAGTGCTTCAAACTCCTCCCGGACTACCGCTCGAGCAGATGGACTCGTGCTGTTCATCCTCTCCCTTGCCTTGTCGTCGCCAAGTTGTGCGCATCTTCTTTCCGTCGATCTCTCGTTCATGCACCGCTTTGAGATGACCCGTGGAGTCTTCGTAGCGGCGACGTGTGGTCGTCACTCGCCGACCCTTGTCGTCCATAACGGACGAGCTACTGAACGAATAAGACGAGAACGAGTGGCTCATCGGGTCGTCATCCTTCAATGTCTTGGTGCTGGATACTTGTTGATCCTGTTGCGGTGCATTTTGCACCGGTTGGAACGCCGTCGGCTTGTACTTGTGTGCCACCACAGGCAGGTCGACGAAGAAGTCGTCATCGTCCGTCGACTTCCCGGAGTACATGACGTGCTTTGGAGTTGGAGTGGCGAGCATCTCTCGACGCGCCCCAAAAGGGGAAGCGCGGTCGCATCATGCTGTCACTCATGTGCTCGAGCTCCATCATAGACTGTTCGAGTGACGACATGGGGTACCAGAAGCGCGGTCGCACGAGATCCCACGAGCTGAAACATGGTTGCGTGACTTTGTCGTGTGTGGGTTGTTGCTACTGGTCGATCGTGCGGTTGGATGCAAATTGGGAAATGAAAGGGGACGTGGGTCGCCGCTCTCTTGGCGTGCAGACAGAGGCAGACCGATCAGTGATGATGTTGAAGTGCTTCGATCGAATGTTGTCGAAAGTAGCGTTTGAACCGGGTCCGATTCAAAATGTCATACACCTGAGGTGGCTGTTTTCTAGAACCGACTCCCGTCTTTTTCACCTTCTTTTTCGCGAATGCTTTTCCACTGACGACTAGAAAGTCGAGACGAAACCGATGGTCCTTCCAGTCTTCCGATACTATACGCGCATGACACCACCCTTCCGGCGGGTACTGTCGTCCACTTGAATTACGATCTTCTTGTGGACCCCGCATCGTCAGAAGAATGCACAACGGTGCTCAGGTCGGGGATCAGATGTTGTGTGGAAGTCGCGAGTTTCCGTAGCTTTTCAGCCACGCCGTCGATATCCCATTTGCCATTGTGACCATACCAAGCAGTAGTCGAGAAACAACGACTTCGTTCATTCTTTGAATACCAATCCCTCATTAGTACTGAAGGCAGGTTTCTACATGTATTCGTGTACTGTCGACATGTGTCATCTATTCTGGTCGCAATGTGCGTTTTTCCTGTGCCTCTTGATGCGACGTTTTGCAGCCGCTTTCCTTGTGTACGACGACAGCGTCGTGATAAGAATCAAAACGCGGATCGATCAACAAATTGCAGAGTAGGTGGTCACATTAAAAAACAAGTCATACCTCTCGCGCTGTCCGTCTTGTCCGTGGAGACTCGTACCTAATCTGCTCTTTGTGAGTACAACTTCCAGCACGGATGCTCTCATTGAAACTGTGATTCACATCCACTCAATCAACACTTACTCCAAAACTGCATGGTGGCATGACCTTGAAGTCGGTTCCATGTGATCGTTGTTCGGTGGACGGGTACGTTGCTATGTCAACCACAGTTTCACTGTCGGAGCTGTGTACATTACCCTTGTCAATACGTTTTGGGTTCCACTTTTGCTCTTAATGCTTCGGAATGCCAAGCATTGCCGGCTTCATATCGAGCAGTCGTTGTTGAAGCCATTGTCGATACGTGGTTACTTGCGGTGGTTCATGGATCAGATTTTGCCGTGCCATTGGAACCTAAAAGTGCGCTGGCAATCAAATATGTACTGGCGTGCAATGTGATGATAGCGGTACACTTACGAGTGAACGGCAGCACACCTGTGGACATCCATTCGTCTCAACTTTCTTCTAGAGTGAGTGAAATGCGATCTAAGGGTAGCTAATAAAGGGGCACCTCAATTATACTTCACTTCGGCTTTTAACTTTTTGCAACAGGTTACAACCCAGTGCAACCAAAGCATCCTTCCCATAACCAAGTCCTTTCGCCTACTATGGGGCGCGAAGAAGCAAGCAAACCGAAAGTATCCTGGGATGTGGATATTATTACCACTAGGAGTTTATGAGTGAAGAACCCTGCGCAAGGAAGGGTCTCTTAGGGCATGCCTTGGTATTTAAGGCTGAGAGTGAAGTAACAGAAGCAGAGCTAATAAACGACGCCAAGGCGCTAGGCATGGTCCCCAAGGCGTTGAGGTCCAGCACCAAAACCAAGATTTGATTTGCATAAGCGCGCCATATAGGTACGGGTAATGCTCCGCGATTTCTACAACCGCTTGACGCTTCGATTAATCGTGTGACGATGACGCGCCATCTTCTACGACTTCAAACTGGAGAGTGGGACAAGTATGGTGGAACATCTAGACTCTTTCGACGAACTGGTAGTGGACTCCAGACTACGGGAAGTCCGATGGATGAGTCGCACTAGCTGGTAATAAACTTCTCAGCATTTCTGCTCTTCTGAATACGAACTGAGTTCAGTCGATTGTTGAAAATGCGAAGGACATTACGCTAGACGGAAGTCAAGGAGAAGCCGCCTTAAGGAGTCAGGAAAGATGCAAAGAAAGGAGACTACGGAGAAAAGCATTCCGCGTGAATGGGAATCCTGGATACCTTAAAGGTGGACGGAGCAAAGGTAGGAAAGGTGGCGCTCCACGCAATCACGGCGGATTTGAGGGCAAGTGTTTGAACTGTGACAAGTTTGGTCACATGAAGCGGAACTGCTTGGCCGGGAAACAAATCGGCGGCGATCGATGCGGTATCTGCAGTATGCGAAGGAAGATCATTCAGATGACTGATCGACAGTGGTGCAATCATCCCACATGACCCCACAACAGAAAGGACTTGAAGCGGAAGATTAAAGAGCACCTAGGTAGACAAACGCGTCGAGGCAACAATTGCAGGCGCAAGAAAAAAGTTGATCGTCAAAGGAGCCGGTACGGTAGAGCCCGACTGGTTTGATGGAAAAGGTATTCGCATGGTGGAAGTCATGTACATCCCAGGACTCGATAGAAGATTGCTAACAGTCGGTAAGTTTGCAGAACGTGGCATGAATCGGAGTTCTCACGTTCGTCTTATGTCATCTGGAACAAAGGATCAAGCTTATCGCCTCGGGGACCAGAATCGGAAAGCAAAATCTAGACTGTGAGCAAGGAGAAGCTTGTCTCGTGGAATATTCCGATGGTGACATCAGTGGGAGCTTTGGCATGCCCGTATGGGACAAACCCAAGCAAGGCGCGTTACTCCAGACTCAAAGCGCTCAACCAAAGGCATCGAAAATCAAGCTAGGCACACGACCGTCGGTTTTTGAAGGAAAACAGACCGTCGCGACGTTTTCCTTCACATTCAATGACGAAGACGAATGTACTAGAGCGCGTAAGCACACAGAAGTGATGCCGATGAAAATCGCTTTAAGGGTGAAGAACCAAATAAAGGGTGGTGCTCACCAAATACATAATCACGACTGTAAAGATTGTACGATACATTGCGGTATTCATAATCAACAGTAAGAATGGAGTGACTGGCATGTTCAGGGGAATCCAAGACATTTTTCGAAAACACATGGGGAGCTCGTTTGAGTTGTTTGCGCTCCGACAACGGATCAGAGTTTGTCAACCAAGACTATGGCTGGCATATGTCAACAGAAACGGCATAGTGCATCATCGTTCCGTTCCCTTACAGCCCTCAGCAGAACGGAGTGGCAGAGCGGATGAACAGGACAATCATGGAGAAGGCCTTCGGAGCATGCTAATTTACAAAGGGGCGTTTCAACCGATTGGCTGGGCAAAAGGCGATGCATTGGAGTGGTTTCTAATACAACTGGCTCCACGAAATACGGCTCACCTTCGGCATGACACCGTATGAGTTGGCTCTTAAGATTAACAAATGGACCACTTGCAACTGTGTTCCGTCGCAAGGTTTTGCCTCAATAACTAAATCATAAAAGAGAACAAAGTTGGAGCCAAAGAATTTTTAAATTGTTTGTTCTTCGGGAACGAAGAAAATCTGCAAAGTTTATCGTGTGTTTGACTCGGAAATGAACAATGGTCCAAAGTTACGCGTGTTCAAATGAAGTTGGATGATCGTGAAGTGGGCGGCATTTACGACACTCAAGTGCTAAATCCGGAAGCGGTCGTTCACGTGACGAAGGAGGAGTGATGAAATACAGATTCAGCAGCAAAAGATGGGCAGCCAGATCATCACGAACCCATGGAAGATGTTGAAGGAAGGATCTCCGGTCGCAGACGTGGAAGGTGGACGATGTGGCATACTACGTCAAGCGTCAGTGCAACAACAGCTGATGCCTCCCTGACCCCCATGTTGAAGACACGATGCAACTGCACTAGAGAAGGTATCATCCACCGCATCAAATGCAGCAAGAAGATCGTTTAGTGTCCCGACCTGAAGTGGAGAGAGCAAGAGAAAGACATTAGCCGATGATGTTGCTCAGAAATGCCCCAAATAATGGTAGAAGAATCAGCAGAATAAAGCTGACGGGAACACCGACTACGAAGCTTGCTAGGATTGATTAAAACGGGACTACAGAGGGAGCTGCATTAGCATACGCGGTAAGTGTGTAAAACCCCATGCGCTGTGAGGAATGAAATCGGTCGACATGCACAGTCACCTAAGACGGAAGAAGGGACGTTCGGCGATGACGATCGAAGCCTTTATCTCCTCCTTGAAAGGATGCCTACTATGCATTACAAAACATGTACTAGGTCCGGATTTTGCTATGTATGTGGTGACACAACTATCTACGGTTTCCGGAGAAACCATGGATTGCAACGTTGGAGTGCAGCCATTGTCTTTACGTTTTAAGATATCTAAAGACGACATAAACAAACCCAAAAGGTCATTGACAAAAATACGGCACTGGAAAGTGTTGGGGAGTAAAGGCGTGATCGGATGCTGATTGAGTTAAAGCAACAGCGATGAGACGACGTTCGGTCTCAGGAGTAATTGTAACTGGGTAGCAAGAAATTATGGTACTTTTGTACCAGAGGTGTTACAGACACCTGAGCGTTACCCCTTTGTGAAGGTGATAGAGAATATCCTTTTGGTTTGTAGGGGCTGACGAGTGTCAGCCATTAGGTACGAAAGATCTTTGAGTAGGATTGAGATATTCTATAAGCTTTCAACAAAATAAAAGCAGTTCCCATTTTGATCAAAAGGACACGTGGCGTGCGGAGTCGTCTTGATCGTTGATCACTGATCACCAAGAGTAAGCAACACCTCCTTGAGGTAGCTACTCTTGAGCACTGACTGCTGTCGATTCACTGGATCGTTAGGTTACCTGGAACAGGGATCTGAAGCTGTAAAGCTTGTTGACTCGTAAAATCGTTCAGTTCTTTAGGAACTAAGTTGCTCGTAGAGCGTTAAGTCTTCCTCTGACTTAAGGAGCTGTGTAGCTCCGCTACACTTGGTAGCACTCGTAGTCAATCTACGCCTATGTCTTTTAGACTGATCCTCTGTGAGGATGGAAAACTCTACTCCCTCTGAGGCTTAAAAGGTCGCGCTTAATAAGTTGACCGCATCTTTGGGTCCAGAGTGCGGTGGAGTTGTTTGTCTCACAATGACCTGAGGTGCTTAATGCACGTGTTGAAAGCTTCATGCAGTATGAAGCGACCCTTTTAGAGCAGGTCCAAGACCAAATAGCGTCGACTATGCCTCACACGCTACGTGTCTGTACCAGACGAAGAGGTTAGGACTCTTCCACTTAGAGTGGAACTTAAAAACTACTCCGGTAAGGAGGGTGAGAACCTCATCCTCTGGATCCGTAAGATTGAGATGGCCATGACATCAGGCCTGATCACGATTGACCATCAACAGGTCTCGCTGGCTATCTCGAAGCTCGGTGGAAGAGCTAGAGAATGGGCCTCGACGTGTAGCACGTCGGTGGACATAGCGTTTCCCTCATGGGAGTCGCTCAAGTCACAATTGGTACAGGTGTTTTCTCCACCTAACCAGGCTTACCGCGTGCGGTCACGCTTTCTTGCTCCCCGCCAGGATGCGAATGAATTATCGGACTATGTCCAAGAGCTGCGAACGCTCATGGCTGCAATGCAGTCTGACGCTTTGCCTGAAGCAGTCCATGTGACTATCTTCACGGAAGGTCTAAGTTCTGGCATTGCCAGAACCGAGGTTTTTCGGGTTCACCCCTCTACGCTTGAAGAGGCTGTGGGAATTGCTCTTAATGCTGAGCATAACCTCAAGTCGGCTAGGCTTGGCTAGAATGGTTACAACCCTAGCTCTGCGAGAGCAAACTCCACAAGTGGTCCGGCCCTTAACAGACCGGAACCCATGGATGTCGTCTATGCTGAAGATGAAGGTGAAGTCGAACTTCAAGCTGCTGAGCAGTAACGCGTTGTACGACGATGTTTTACGTGCGGAAACACTAACCACTTGCGGCCTGGTTTCTCTTTGCGTAAACAGCGTCAGACTAAAGGCCAATACCTTATCCCGAGTCAGAAGTCTGGCATGGCACGGAGAAATGCCGACACCCAGTAGGCGCGGGGCGCCCTACTGGGGAAGAACTATGTTCTGTTACACCTTTAGAAGGTAAAGGAATGCAGGGCTTAGCCCCAAAGAGTACCATACCTAAAGTTAAGGTGCGCGTACACAAGTCTGGCTTGTTGGTCGCCGAGGCGAAAATTAAGGGCTTCGAGAAGCCTTGGTCGATATTGATCGATTCTGGAGCGTCTTGCAATTATACTCGACGTCGTTCCCTTGAGGGAAGTCAACAGTATGCTGAGGCGCTTACAGCGCATGAGGGTGATTCTATCACGGTTCGTTTAGCGACTGGAAGTCGCGTAACGGTGCCTAAAGTTCCATTGAACTTAGGTATAAAGTTTTTAGACTTTGACAGTATTGAGCGCTGTCTTGTCCTAGATTTAGACTCGAGATATGATCTCATCCTAGGTATGGCTTGGCTTGAGCGCCATGATCCAAGGATCGATTAAAGGTCTAAGACTTAAGGCGCCTCGCGCAATGCTCCTAGCGAAGTTTTGGAGAGTCATGAACCCACCTTTGCTAGGCAACAGAAGCACTATTGGCGCGAGCCTTGACAGAAGATGTCAATGTGCTGGAAATTGGAATGTTTGAGTTATTTAACTCCAACGTTAAAAACGTAAGTTTCGAGCCTAGCTCGTCTAAAACTAGTGAAACGGCACGTACTCCGTTGAGTGGTACTCGTTGTGATAACGAGTCACTGCATGCTGAAAGCATGGTTGGCCTAGGGCCGAGTGATCAAGGATGTGATTCCTTTGATGTGTGTATGGAGGCACGTGAAACTACACCGAGTGCGGTCGGCCGTGAGAGCACCGCACTTAATGTCGGTAATGACATTTTTGGCCATATGCCATTTAGTGTGGGCGGCCGTGAAGGCACCACACCTAACGCCGGTAATGGCGTTGTTGGCGATACGCCATATGGTGTGGGCGGCCGTGAGGGCACCACACCTAATGTCAGTAATGACACTGTTGGCGATACGCCATATAGAGTGGACGGCCGTGAGGGCACCACACCTAATATTTTTTTTCCCCACCCATTTTAACTCCCCCCCTTTCCCACTATCTTTATGTCGGTCAAGACAAAAGCTCTCGTATAGAGCGTACTATGGTTGGTAGTAACCATGGGGACAATATTGTCCCGACCCCTAAGGGGTGTAAGGTCTCGAAGAGACAATCGAGACGCCGAGTAGCAGCTGTAAAGCGCCAGGCGTCCTCACAGTGAGGATTAGCAATACACTATATACACTTGTTAATGGAGTGACTGGTCAGGTTAATGGCAGCGTGAGCCTCGAAACCCTTCCATCTGTGGACGCTCTGTGTGAGCTAGACAAAATGTCTAATTGCGAGTTTAGCCAGGCCTCAAAGGCAGGAGAGTTATCCGAATTAGTGGTCATTAGACCTGATACTGAGTTGAATCTTTCCTCGTTAATGGATGAGTCTATCCTAGAGGATACAAAGGCGGTACTTAGTTCACGAAGTGGATCTTCGATCCTTAAAGATCCTTTGGATCCGTTCTATCCTTTAGTTAAGGAATTTCAAGATGTGTTGTATCACAACCCACCTTCTGCCTTACCTCCCGATAGAGGTGTACGTCATGAAATTGACTTGGTTCCTGGAACTAAATACTGTGTAACACGGCAGTGGCCTTTGCCTAAATAACAGTGTGACGTCATTGACGAATTCTTTTGTGATAAGCACGCGGCTGGAATGGTTCGTGAGAGCAAGTCTTCCCATTCAAAACCGACATTTTGTGTCAAAAAGCCAAATGGCAAGTGGCGTATTGTGCATGCTTACAATAAGCTTAATGCAGCCACTGTTCCGGCGCAGACGCCTATTCCTAGAAAGGATGTTCTTCAGAACAATATGGCGGGATGTACATTGTACAGTGCACTCGACTTAGTCGATGGTTATTACCAACTGCTTATGCGAGCAAGTGATATTCCACTAACAGCGGTGAGTACTCCGAGCGGTATGCTCTGGGAGTGGCTCGTTATGCCACAAGGGCTATTAAATGCCCCGGCTACGTTTCTCCGGCTGGTAACGCAACTATTCAGACCTCATCGAGGCTATGCACAAACGTACTTTGATGACATTTTTGTCCTTAGTAGTGCAATGAATGGGCGATCAGATGTGGATAACCACATCGATCATTTACGAGCGGTGCTCGAGTGTATGCGAACGAATAAGTTGTATGCGAACGCATCGAAGTGCATATTTGGTGCAGAAGAGATTCCCTTTCTAGGGAGCTTCACTAGAAAGCGAGGCCTTCGAGCGGATCCCGCTAAGGTAAATGACATAGTCAATTGACCGTTTCCTATGAACCAAAAGGACTTACGTAAGTGGCTTGGCCTTGCCAATTACTTACATAAGTACAGTGCAAATTACGCAGATATGGCTCGGCCATTGTCCAATCTCCTTAAAAAGGATGTGGATTGGTGTTGGGGTAACACCGAACATAATGCTTTTGAAGCAGTTAAGGAGAGTCTCCTTCATGCGCCAGTATTGGCTTTGCCCGATCCTGATCGGCCTTTCAGTGTCGTCTGTGACGCATCTGACTTCGCCAGAGGCAGTGCTCTGTTACAAACAGATGTCGATGGACGCGAATGCGTCATCGCATTTGAGTCTCGGCAGCTGAAAACTGCTGAAAAGAACTATCCTGTTCATGACAAAGAGCTACTTGCTATGAAGTACGCTCTTGTAAAATTCAGAGTACATCTGCTTGACTCAAAGCTGTTTGTGATCGATACAGATCATGCGTCATTATGCAATGCGACACAGGCGCCTCATCTCTCGCAGAGATTGGCTCGTTGGCTTTCCTTCTTTGCCGAATATGACTTCGAGGTGAAGTACAAGCCAGGTAAGCAAAAGGCTTTGGCTGATGCGCTACCGCGTCGAACTGACTATGAGCTTGCTCATGTTACGACTCTTTTGTCGTCAGTCACTGACTTAATATGTGCGGCATATGCCAAGGACGATCAGTGTGTAGCTTTGCTACGTGCTCTTGGGAGCGATGAGTTTAGAGACTCGGACATCGAGTTGTCGGCACGTTTTTGTGCGAGGCTATATCGATATTCCATTGATAATGGCCTGTTGTGCTATCGCACGGATATTGAAGATAAGCCTCGTATCGCTGTACCTCATTATGAGGAATTAAAGTATCGAATCCTCTATGAGGCACATGATACTGCTTTAAGTGGTCATCTCGGTCGTGAGAAGACTTATAGCTCGGTGAGCCAAAGTTATTGGTGGCCCAAACTTTAGAAGTGGGTGCGCACCTATGTGCGTACGTGCAAAACGTGCTAACGGGTAAAACCCTCGGCACATTCGGCGGCACCGCTGGCTAGTTTTCCAGTACCCACTGGTTGTTGGGAGTCCATGAGCATGTATTTTGTGTTTGGCCTACCGAAAGAATCGGAAGGCGACACTGGTATTGTGGTCTATGTTGACCGATTGAGCAAGATGGCTCACTTAGCGGCTGTGCCGGATAGCATTGATGCTGAAGGCACAGCAAAGCTGTTTATCGACCGTGTGTTTCACCAACATGGCTTGCCGGTGGCAATTATCTCTGATAGAGACCCCAGCTTCACTAAAAAGGTTTGGAAGTCTATCTTCAAGGTTCTTGGCACTCGGTTGGACATGTCCACAGCGGATCATCCGCAGACCGACGGTCAAACTGAGCGTGTTAACCGCGTAATCAATGACATTTTGCGCAGTGTTTGCGCTGGTACGCCTAGGCGTTGGAGCTCAATGCTTCCTGTTATTGAGTTTGCGTTGAATAACGCTGTTCATGCCTCAACAGGCTTTACTCCGTCCTATATAAACGGTCTCACTCACCCTCGCGTTCCGTTAACGCTATCACTACGTGATTCAGGGCTTGGTGGGGGGAGAGGTTGCCGATCGGCTCGCTGATATCATCCCTGCTACTGTTCATAAACAGGTAGGCGAGTTTCTCGCAACGCGATTAAACGTCTTAAGACATGTGCGTGACGCAATGGCTGATAGCCAAGATACCCAAAAACAACAAGCTGATGCCAAAGGCAGAAATTGCATTGATCTTTATGAGGTCGGAGACCAAGTACTACTCAATGCTAAAAATCTACCTACAAATGTAGTGTCTGCTGTCTTTAAGACAAAGTTGCGTCCACGCTTTATTGGACCGTTTACGGTCACGGCCAAGAAGGGACTTGCGTATACGCTAAACCTCCCGCGCAAATTGCGCACACATCCAGTGTTCTACGTAGGCTTACTTAAGCCGTACCGGGATCCTTCCCATGTGAACTTGGAGGCGCTTGCGCCGACGACAAGGGCACTGCCCCGGATTGCTGTAGACGAATCAGGAAGTCCAACTGAGCCTCGCTCCGAGTTTGAGCTTGCTCCATCGCCTGAAGGCGGCTTTGCATCGCATCCGGCATGCACTGGGACTTACCCAAGGCCTCTTGAAGACCCCTCACTTCGAGAACCAATTTTTCGTGGGCCTCCACCGGTACACCGGCCGCCACCGACTTTGCTCGACGAGCATGGGTGTCGTCAATTTCATGTCGAGATACTACTAAAACGACGTCGTCGTCATGGCCAATATCAGTATCTGGTAAAGTGGCGTGGATACCCTGAGTCTGAAAACTCATGGGAATTTGAGGAACCCCTTCGTCAAGACTGCCCATATGCATTGGATGCTTTTGAGCATCGTAGCCATGGTCATCTCGAGACCGAGGCCGTTACCCA